CCCCCACAAAAGTAGGATATCAGTTTCAAGTGTAAGGAAAATGAAAAGTGGATTCTGTCTGCTTAAGACAGAGTCTCTTTTCTTGGAGACTCAAGCACATTCCTGAGGCTCAGGATAGGGAAGGTAGGGGACATTAAAATAGAGTGGGGTTACAGGGTTGTGAGTGTACTGTAAGTAAACTGGGCCTAGTTAGAGTGCCCAAAACCCCACTGCTCATTTGTTGTTGTTGTTATAAGCATGAGTCAAAGCGTCTCTCTGTAAATGTTAAGCTTGATGCATATTTCTGGTGAAACTTAGAAAAAACATTTGATCTTACCTGAACTGCAAGTCTTTAAAGGAGAATTGAGTTTCAATGATTCCCGTCGTTTTCACTCGAGAATGTAGAACATCTTGCTCATTTGGAACATACTCAGGAGCTGTTATTCTGTCTAAATCATTAAGGTAGCTATTGTAAAACAAACAACAAAAAAGAAAATAGCATGTCTGTTTTCAAATTTGCATTTGAATATGCCAGGATTCAGTACAAATGAATTTTAATTGATAATATTAAACTTAAGTACTTTTCAAGTTCAGTTTGTTGGAAAGAGAGTTTGGTGGCTGGACTACTGTAGAGAATTGAGCGTGGTACACAGCTGACCCCCTGGGGGCCTCTTCTAAAGGTCGGCTAAATCAACCCTGCCTTACTCTGTATTTTATGAGGCTCATGTGATAGATATAGATCAGGGTTTGAGAGAAAATTTCTCTCTATAGGGCCTAGGTCATCCACAAAAAATTACCTTATAATGGTAGTTAGAAGACTGTACTCAAAACTGTTGTAGTTTGAATTCAGACACATTTAAGAGAGTGATTAGTTTTAATATTATAATTCAAAAGTTGTTATTTTTTTGCATGGATTGCTTAGCTTAGGAGTCTCAGCTACTTTCATTAAGTGTCCTGATAATATCCAGTTAGCTCAATAAAAGAAAGACCTTGGACTCTATTGCTGGCCTTGCTGGAACTAACTCACGGAACTGCTGATCTACCTCTGACCCGGCACTGCTTGTGGACAGAATGGTGAACTTATTCTTCGAACCAGTTCTCACCTCTTCATCTCTTCTGTCAGTGTATCAGTGTGCCCTAAACCCTTTGAGAAGGCCCTGCTGAAAAACCCACTTTGATCCCACAGGATCTAGGGGTGGTGAAGGACAGGAATAGGTCTGATTAAACTGTGTACTCTATAAAAATCTGTTACATTAGAGGAAAGAATTTGCTTTTAACTTTGTTCTTGAAGTTAGATAATGTGTTTAGACTAAAACTAAGTTTTATTGCTCAAAAAAAGAAAGTTGAAAGCTACTGTTCTAGGTTTTTGATGTTAAAGCTTTAC